TCAATACTTGGGATTTTTTCTTTTTGATTGATTTTAACCAAAATGACATCGTTTTATACGATAATTATTTTTAAAAGGTAAAAAATAAATTCATGTATGAAAATAATAACGGTTGACTAACAGAGTATTAGTCAAAGTATGAAATAACACAAATACAATTGTGTAAGTATGTATTCGTACAGATCACGAGTACATATTCGTATCGGAACCGTATACAACAGTGCGGATATGAATCGACCATTTCTCCTCAATTTGGTTAAACAATTGATGTATTCAAAGGTAATTTACATTTCTTTAAAGAATAAATTATTATTTTTTTCCTTCTTTCTTGTTTTGAACGAGAGCAAAATGGCTTTAATATAATTAAAAAAAAGAGAAACATAACTGGCTTCTTCTTTTCCTCTGCGCCGTTTCTTGTGGCTTTGTACTCTCTCTCTCTCAAACTCGCTTCACTCGCAGGTAAAGCTTTTGACATTCCTTCTGGGTTCGTTTTCCAAAACCTAAAGTTTCTTCCTTTTCTATGGTTTTGTGTCCATCTCAAAGTACAGAGATTGATAAACCCTAGTAGTGAGATTTCTCTTCAATTTAGAAACTTTTTAACTTTAGATTATTCAGTATCACAGTTCACAAAACCGGCTCTGATTGTTCAGGAATCGAAATTTCATTCCTTTGTTCCTTAAACCCTTGCTTCTGATCAATCTTAATATGCTGCATTGTCTCTGTTTTACCTATCCAATATAATGTCTAATGTCTTGCCTAATTCTGGAAAAAAGTTTAAGAATTTGATCGGATTAGCCTTCAATCGTTGAATGTTCTGTAGAACTTGGACTAATTGGATCCTTAATTTGCTAGGCAGGTGCATTGAAATTTGACATTGGATTTATAACTAACTTACGTCTGATTTAGGTTGAATGGATAATCATGTGAAGCAAGAGATTCAACCAACTACTTCTCCGGCCGCCTTTACGCAAGGAGAAACCGTAACTTTAATCGATCTCTGTAGCAGCGATGATTCAGACGTTGAGGAAAACGTGAATGGATTGGAGGATGTGGGAAGTGCTGACCGAAGAAGGTATAATTCTGGAAACCCTGTTTGTGCAAAGAGAGCACGAGATGCTTTGGAAGTGGAAAGGAATAATAATGCAAAGAAGGCAACAGTTGATGAGCTAGCAGTCAGGTTGCCGGAGGGATTTAGCCAATCGCTTCCGCCTGAAGATGTGACTTACGCTTTTCCGGCTGCTCCGTGCAATTTCTTCGTGCCTAATTCTTCACCGCAGCCCTCTTCCGGCATGTCTGGTCGAACTGGTAGTTGTAAGCAGTTCTGGAAAGCTGGGGATTATGAAGGAGCACCTGGCGGTAATTGGGATCTTTCTTCAGGTAAACCAAAAGCAGGCAGAAATATATGGAAACATAGTTGGGAATGTTGAGAAGAATTTGTGCTCAATTGTTTGACATGGATTCTATTTTACTGTGTGTTTGTGTCTCAGGTGGCTTTGATCATGTAAGAGTCCATCCTAAGTTCTTACATTCTAATGCAACCAGCCATAAATGGGCTCTTGGAGGTATTTTATTGATCAACCTTGATTCGATCTACGGTTATGATGAGTTTTCCTCTATTCTTATGATGTAATCTGTTTTATATGCTCTATTGTGCAGCTTTTGCAGAGCTTTTGGACAATGCATTGGATGAGGTAGGTTTGATTTCGTAACACTTTTTTATAGTATTACACAAACTGAAGTGATTTAGCTTCTGCATTGTAGTAATGGCTTGTAATTGGTGTCAGGTTGCTAGTGGAGCTACGTACGTTAAGGTAGATATGCTCGAAAACAAGAAAGCAGGAAACAGGATGTTATTGATAGAAGGTAAACACTATATTTACCATATGTCAGAGATTTTCTTCACTGTTTTATTCCTTTGGTTATCGGAAGTGCAGCACATTTTGCCCACTGCTCGATCCCTCATGGACCGTGCATCCTTATGTTTGAAATGCAGATAATGGAGGTGGGATGGATCCTGAAAAAATGCGACAATGCATGTCTCTAGGATACTCTGCCAAAAGCAAACTTGCTAATACCATTGGACAATGTAATTATTCTTCATCAACCTGAGTTATACTTATCAAATGTTATGCAGCAAGATCCTTAATTCATTTACTGCTTGTAGATGGCAATGGATTTAAGACTAGTACGATGAGACTTGGAGCTGATGTCATTGTATTCTCGCGTTGCCCTGGAAAAGATGGAAAAAGGTTAGTAGTCTGTTACCATTTTTTTACTCCTTTTGGCTATCATGTCTTTAGCCATTTTGGTTGAATTGTATTTCCACTACCGAAGAATATGAACAGCTGTCTGTTATAGATTATTTTACTTGATGTTGGTTTTAGCTCTACGCAGAGCATCGGGCTTCTATCATATACATTTCTGAGGAGCACAGGAAAGGAGGATATTGTTGTACCCATGGTAATGCTCTCTTTGTTTTACTGTGTGTGGTATTGTTAGAGAACAACTTTGTAAGTTGAACTATATGAGTAGTTAACTCCAGCAGCAGAACCATGGTTGTTTCTCAATGTCTATGTTTTTTGTCGCATTGCTGATTCATCATCAAACTTATCTCTATTGCCATATAAGATATTTCATGTCCACAACATCTATTTTAAATTACGACGAATATCATATCCATTTTATCTTTATATTCTCTTATGATGTGATCTAAATGACCAGCTTGACTACAAAAGAAAAGACTCTGAATGGAGTAAAATTGTACGCTCTTCCATTCGTGACTGGGATAAGAATGTGGAAACGATAATTCAATGGTCGCCATTCTCCAGTGAAGAAGATCTTCTTCATCAGGTTAATATTTTCCCTAAAAAAAATTTATGGGAGCTTTTATTTCCCATGGAGAGGCATAAAGAAGAGTCAATTATAATGATTCTTTCAGTACATTCTGATTATGTGATCTTGATTTTCATGTGCTACCACTTTACTGTCTCTATGAGCAAATGTTATCACTAATGTGTTGCTTCATTTGTTGTAGTTTGATCTAATGAGCGATCGTGGCACACGGATAATCATATATAACCTGTGGGAAAATGACCAAGGAATGCTAGAACTCGATTTTGATGCTGATCCGCATGTACGTGTTTTTATTGCTCAAATTATGTGAATTTATGTGTGAGATGATGATGCAGAAGCTTCCTTGTGCATAACATAGTGTTTATTTGCAGGATATCCAACTTAGAGGCGTCAATCGGGATGAGAAAAACATCAAAATGGCTTCTGAGTATCCTAATTCTAGACACTTCCTAACATACAAGCACTCACTAAGGGTATAAATATTTATTTCTCCTTATATTGCATTTCTTGTTACAATTAATACCAAGTAAGATGTTTATTTGTTAGATTAGCTCTAGTCAATGATGTTTATTTGTTAGATTAGCTCTAGTCAATCTCATGCTAGTAATGACTGTAATGGTTCTTGATGATTTCCAACATTGATGAGATGGTGGAGAGAAATCAAAAGCTTGACTAGGAATATGATTATGAATCTTGTTATTACATACTTGCATGTCCTTTATATCTTACAAACGAATTTCCCATATCTTTTTGACATGTTCTCAGAGTTATGTATCAATCCTCTACCTAAGAATTCCTCCTGGGTTTCGTATGATTCTTCGAGGAAGTGATGTTGAGCACCACAACGTAGTAAACGACATGATGCAGACTGAGCATATCACATATCGACCACAGTATGGTGTCGATGGAGGATTTGTTAAAGATTCAAATGTATGTTTCAAGATCTTAATTATATTATGCCTTCTTACAACAGTAGTGCTAAAATTTTAACTTTTTTTTTTTTATCAGATGTCTGCCGTTGTAACTATTGGATTTGTGAAGGACGCAAGACATCATGTCGATGTTCAAGGGTTCAATGTCTACCACAAAAATCGGCTCATCAAGGTTTCCTTCTGCTTAAATCGCTTTTTTGTTTGCCCAAACTCTTCGTATTAGTTCTGTAATTTTCCGAGAAGATATTGAACTTTTATATTCTCATGTATTTCTTTGTAAATTGTTTGATCAGCCATTTTGGAGGATATGGAATGCATCAGGCAGTGATGGTCGTGGGGTCATAGGTATTGTTCCCAATTGTAAAATTCTGATACGCTTATTTTATGTGAAGATAATAATGCCAAATTCTTCTGCTAATAGGTGTTCTTGAAGCCAATTTTGTCGAGCCTGCACATGATAAGCAAGGATTTGAGCGTACGACAGTTCTTTCTAGACTCGAGACACGGCTAATCCAAATGCAAAAGATATATTGGTCTGGTTCTTTTCTCGTAATGTTTTAAAATTACGATTTGTTACGCTGGATTTGAATATTTCAGGGCTAAAGATTTTTTTATTCTGTTTTGACCAGGAGCACTAACTGTCACAAAATCGGCTATGCGCCTAGGCGACACAAAGGTTCTGTAAACGGTTATGATTACAAAGGTACAGTTTCTTTATTGGTTTCTAACGTCCATACTGAATTTCATGGATACTTAACTTGCAAGGGACAATCTTTTGAATATGTTTTTATCAAATTGTAGAATCATCGCCAGAAAATGATCCTGGATATGATCCATCTAGAAGAAACGCTTCACATTCCATCAGTACCTCGGACAAATTCTGCTCAAGCTCATATAAAGGGGACAATGGTGCATCATCAGATAAAGAACTGGTTAATACTCTCACAAAAATCTTTTTCAAAAAAAGGAAAATCCTTTAAGGACATTTCTGTTGTAACATATCTCCATATTTCCTTGGTACTCTCAGTTATTGCAAAAGGAGCTGCGACGCGAGAAAGAACGTAACAAGGAACTTGAAGCTGAGGTATGATGATTGCTATCTTCTGACATTTTAACTCTGCAGATTTTGCTTGCAAACCTGATGGATTCCTCTTCCATGGTTGATTTAGGTTAATGAAGCAAGGCAACAAATAGAAAATATGCGTAAAGAGCAACAGAGTCTAGTTGATATATTCTCAGAGGAACGAGACAGGCGTGATGGAGAGGAGGAAAGTCTGAGAAATAAGCTCGAGGTTCCTCATTCACTAAAGCATTCCTCCATTTTAACTCGTATGATTGTTATGCTCGCGTTAAGTAGTAAAACTAAACATTTTCATTACAGGAGGCATCGAATACGATCGAGGTGCTGTTGGATAAGGTTAGAAAGCTTGAAGGATCTAAAGGTCCGAATTGGAGACGCTAAACACTTCTTCAACTTGCATATATTTGGAGGCAGAACTTTTGAGGGAAGAAAATTTCCGGTCTAATGTTAATTAAATCATATGGTTTCTCTAGCAATCTCTATTTGATTTGTGAGTCCACCTGATGTGATCAGTTTATTGCATCGGGTTGGATACATGTAGATTAGTGTAACATTTCTAAATTTGTTTGGCCTTGAGCTATTGACATTTCAATAAACATTATTCCATGTAAAACCAATAAAATTTGAGTAATAATTTGGGTTGACTTGGTCGAGTTTTTGGATGAAACAATTAAATATACCACTACTACTATATATATATACGAATTAACATTTGTTTGATTTGGTTTGAAAAATTGAATAAATCAATCTTCATGAATAATGGAAAAAAATAAAAATCTAGATTATCAATATTCACATAACATGGGTACAAAATACCAAAATTTGTTATTTTTAAAGGGGTAATAATTATTTTAACAGATCGGAAAAATTAATTATCAATATTCAATTAGATTTTATAAAACGTTTGCCGGCAAAAAC